AAAAATAAGTAATCTTTCAAGTGAATAAGACAATAAGCTCAAAGTGTCATTCACATCTATTTCGTGCATCATTTGATACGGGAGCCGGCACTTGGTTCTTGCAACATATTATTTCAGTCATGAGATTTTGCAAAAATAATATCATTCAATCTGTCTGAACAAAGGAACAAAGTTGATCTTTGACCTAGTCATAATGATTGTATGTATGATTCCCTTAAGTATGTAGTCATACTTATTAGAAAAATAACAGAACATTCTGAGATTCAATGTAAGTTATTCATCAGGAGCCAAAATTAGAAAAGTATTCCAACTGTGTTTTTCTTACCGTTTTTAATAATTATAATAATCTTGTCTGATCCCATTGGATTTGCTCTGTTTTTTTAATCTGTTGTGAATAAAACCACTAAATAAACTGTGGCTACCATTTATTATATATTACATTAAAGCAAATGTCATATTGGTCAGTGTGTCTTATAAGCTTACAAGACCTTTCTGCAATTCCTTCTCAACTTTTTCGTTGCCTATAAGCAGCCACTGTTTAAACGTTTAAATCCCCCAGTGGAAATGTGTCCTTTGGATGATAACACTGACACTAATATGGCAGCCAAAACGTGTACTGTGCTGTTTGAAGTCAGTGGGCTGATGTACAGTAAATAAGTCAACACCATGGCAACGGCCTGGAGCTAATGCCATTCAAATTCTCTCACAGCCCGGCTGCGGTGGCCTGGAGCCAAATCTGTGCAGGGACAAGAGAGGGATGGCACGCAGGCAATAGGTGCAGCAAGCCCCTAATAGGATGCGCTTTTGTTCTGAAAGGTGATGTAGGTGATGAGCCCGAGGAGCAATGAAATATAAAGCTGGCACAGAGATGGGAAGGTTGCAGTGTTTTCAATTTGGCAATCATATAAAGAGGCCTCAGGGTGCTATCGGGTCACCATCAAACACTCCTGGCAGGCTTAAACTATCAGTGTTTCACTATGTCAAGCCCTCGTGTTGAAACAGGCTCCTGAATCACGCTTCATCTCCCAATGGGTTCATTTCTCTGAATATTCATGAGGCAGGCCTTTTAATGCCATTGATTTCACAAGGTACAACAACCCGTAGCATCTGACAATGACAAGCATACATTGATTTGTGAGGACTGTGGGACAATCTGCATCCTGAGATTTTACGGCGCAGGAAACAACCTTTTGAAGAAAAAAAAACAACCTGTGGCGGAAATTGCGCCAGAAACAACATGGATTTAAATAGCACACAAATACGATGCTTCAACCCGTCAGTGACTGAATGGACCCTGAATGAAAGTCATTAGGGAAACAGATGTCAAAAGGTTTCAGGTTTGAATTTTATAAAGACGTTTTTCAGCTGCCTTTGAGCCTCGGCGGAGGGTGGGGGGGGAGTAAATTAAGAGGTTATTAAATTGATTGTGAAGCTAAGCCTGTAAATGGAGAGGTAGCGGTTACATATTCTTCTACTCTATCTGTGTCGATTTAATTATTTATCAACCGCTCTTTAAAAGGCTGGCCGTGGGTTCAGTGGACCTTTTAAAAATAGTCCAAACATCCAATTAGCAATGCGAGTGATGTGCTGCAGCACATCGAGCACATCCCTCCAGCGAGCCTTCAAATGCCCGTTTCATTTTTATTTTAACGGCAGACGCTTTACATACAGGCGGCAAATCAATCTCAGAAATCTGATAACAGCTCATCAGAAAAGTTTGAAATGGATGCAAAAAGGAGAATCATCAGCTTTAGAGTTTGGAACATCCCAAAATGATTGTATCCTAATTGTGAAATGTGAGATTTACTGGATGTTTTGAGCGCTGCTGCTGCAGTCTAAACTTAGATCCATCTATGGATCCCAACATGTTGTCAGCCGTGAATTGCGGCCAATGCTAGCCGATGAAGATCGCGCTTCTGGATCAGCAAACAGTGTGCATGCTGCAGATGTCGGGACCAGCGGGAGACAGAAGTGAGAGAAAGAAGCTCTCCGGGGAGTTGGAGAGAGGTTCAAAGCCTGGTCCTGGGCTCGTTGGTTTCTGGCATGCCGCTGCGTACGTGATAGTGCCACCCGCCTAGTGACAGCAGCAGATGGTGTGTGGCCCCTGGGCTTCACCTTCAGGAGTGCTGGGCAGGCAGACAGCGCAGCCATGCAGAAAATGCGAGGCCGTCGATTGGGCCGCGCGCCGTAAGATGCCACAGGCTGATAAGATGCCGACAGGAGCGGCGCTTACTTGCTTGAGAAGATGTAAATTAAAGGAACCTGCTGGTTTCTCTGGACCCTCCACACACCCATCACAGGAGATTTCAGAGATTCAGTAAATGCAAATCAGTAAGAATCATTTTGTTATTTGTGATGTAAAAGATATGCACAAGAGATAGAGCATTCTGCAATAATTAGAATTGTAGAATATATTGGACTCTATCAAAATGCCGGGGACCATCATTTAAAGGGTATAAAGCAGAATTCGGAAGTGCTTACATTTCCACAACTGGGGCTTAGCCTTTCGCTGAGACGTCTCCTGTGCTTCATAAGGAGAATCCGGCTTTGGTGTAAAAGTGCAGAGGCACATACATCCGGTCAAACCTTCAATAACCTGGTTATTCTGGGTGCAAAAAGGCAGTTTCCCTTCAAGTCCTCGGCCGTTAATCTTACTGAAAGTGCCAACGTTAAGGCCATCATCCGGGGACATGTGACACAAGAACGGTCCAGAAAGGCCACTGTAAGAGACCCTTGAGCATTTCTCTGACCAGCCGAACTGGTGGGACATCAAAGTCCCTGAAAGGGAAGTCTCAAAGCGCGATGCAGCGTCCGGGCGCTTCTTTTGATTTAGCTGCATATGGCCTGCGAAATATATTTTCCCATTGTGGGGTATTGTGGCCAAAACACTAGTGGATTACTACTCATTAAAGCTGCAGAGAACCCGTTGGGCTGTGGTTAATACACAAGACTTAATGGCCATTTTCAGTTTCATCTCCTTTACACTCTCAGCAGAGGGTTATATATGATGACAGACGACCAGAATTGAAGCCCACAGAGCAGAATGAACTTTTCATGTTTTTCCTCCTCGCACACATTGTTGTTTCTTTTTGCAACGCCTCGGGCTCAGTTCTTGTTCTGGTGGCTTAATTGCAATTTCATCAAGAATTTAAAGCCATGTAGCCTTCTCTATTCTTGTCACTGTCACTCCAGCGCAGAGGACTTCAAGGGTATTTAAAGAAGCCATTGTGTGTCATAAGATAAGTCAGGAGCAGCTTGGGGACGACTCACTTTCATCATTACAGTACCGCCGGACCTCTTCTCCCCCCCCCAATCCATCCTTCTCTCAGTCTCTCTTTCATGGCTTTATCACTCAAAGGCTCAAGCAGCTCAGCAGAATATAAATGAACGTGGGCTGTAAGAAGGGGAAAGAGGGAAAAGGTCGAGACACAAATGGCATGTGCACATCAGTATTGGGACTTTCACAAGGAGGGCTCTTTTGTGCTTGAGTTTGGCTGCGTTGATGCAATATGAAAATGTCATATTATAGATTCATCACCCATGTCCGTGACGGATGGGAGTCTTGAGCTGCGCTGCTTCGTGGGTGTGCGTGGCTATGATCGTGCATGCGTGCCAAATGTAATGTCACTTTTAGAATTAGTGAGATAAGGCTTTTGTTTTGGAAAGCATTCAAGCAAAAGTTTGACATCTGAAGAGTTGTGATCATTTGGGGTTTCTGGCAGATTGTTAGAAGAAAAGATTGAATCGCGCAAGTGGTATCAAACACTTTTAATCCAATTGTCTCATTTAACTAATTTACCAGCAAAAGAGCAAATTTGTGTATTTCCCAGACTATTCGTTTACGGTTATAGTTCACACACACAGGAATATTGATCAAAGCTAAGCTTAAAACAGCATCTTTCCTCCCTCACCTCCTCAAGCACACATGCAACCACCCACATGACCACTTCTACCCACCATATGCTTCACCCAGACTGTACACACTCCTGACATTTCTCTTCCCGCGCCCGTTTTTTCCTTCACGCACACACTCGCACACGAACAATGACTCACGAATAAAAGCACAGCGAGAAGAGACAACTCGCACACAGCTGCACACCCTTACAAATGAGGAGCGGCACCGCATGTGCGTGCAGAAACCTCACAAAGGGCCGAACTGGAGAACATGATGAGGCGGGATTTGTTTTTGTCAATGAGCCCTGATGAAAAAAATAGCTCGTCTGCATTGTGATCAAAAAAAAAAAAACGTAAGCAGAAAATCTGCTCTCGCCACCCTAAATATGTTTTAATATGAATGACAGCAATCATTGGCAGGTATCTATCAGGCAGGACCATATGTTGCTTTGGGTAGGCAGGGAAAGAGGGCTTAACGCAAAGCCTGCCTTATCCTTTGGCATTACAGTCTCTAAGAAAGGATTTACTCTTTAATTCTTGATTAGATAGAATTTTCTCCCCAGTGTGCAAGCACAGGGATGCACCGAGCAGAGATAACCTGTCCTATCGGGAAAGTCTGTGTGTGTGTCCTTTGGCAACGCTCCCGAGACACACACACATCCAAACACTCACGCGCACACCAACGTGGCCCCCTTGGTGTGCCGTCCCATTCAGTCCCTGGGCTTTTACCACATTGTAGTCGGGCTATTATTAGAAGCGTTGAATTATCAATCAGGAATAAATCCTGATTGATGTGTTTTCCACCCCAGAACTGGAAGAAGGACCACACTCACTTGTTTGAGACGGGCCGAGCTGCCTCCGGTTTGTTTGACCTCAGGGGGGTTGACATGAAAGAGGACGGGATATTTTTTCCTTATCAATTAACGAGTTCATCCAGCTTCTCCTGCTCAGGACGTGAGGAGACCGCTGAGGAAGACATTCATTTATTTAGTTCTCCCACTCATTTACCCCCCTCCCCAACACCCTCTACCCCCCCGCCCACCCTCCTCCCCGGCTCTTCGCCTGACTGGCTGCTGAGCTGACTGACTGCCTGGATGCTTGGCTCCCCCCCTCTCACTGGACTCAAACTGGCAGTGAACTCACGCACATGCGTGAGCTTCGCCGAGGCTCGGTCGGAAAGAGACACTCGGGCGGCTCGGGCTTTGGAAAAAGTGGGACTTCCGCTGGTTTTCTGTCCCTGTCTTTTTTTTTTTTTTTGGTGGACTATTAGATGAGAGCAGAGGAAATCTCAGCCCCAGTCTCCTCCAGCACTGACCACCAAGCACCACTATTGGGCTGCATCCATGACTTTACATACCTGGCTGGTGTATAGGCTTGGATTTATCTTGGTTTGGGCACTCTACTTGAAACAGGGTGAGTAGTGTTGTGGTTTTGTGCAGCAGAGACGTGCATATGTGTGTGCGTAATGTCTGTATATGTGGCATGGATATGTGTGTGTGTGTGTGTGTGTGTGTGTGTGTGTGTGTGTGTGTGTGTGTGTGTGTGTGTGTGTGTGTGTGTGTGTGTGTGTTTGATATGTGTGTGTGTGAGCTGTGATATCACAGACACACGATTCTTCCGATAACTAATTTTAATGGTAAATTAATTAACATTATAATGTACAGCCATACAGGTATTATGCTGTATATATTGAGATATACAAAAACAACGAATTATGAATAATAAATAGTACATGAATACAGTGAAATACTGTGAAAATGAACTTCTTAAACATCTGCAAAATATTAGAACAGCACAGCAGAGGAATAATGGAGAATAGGCTGGGGGACAAAACCAACTGAAACAATCACGTAAATATAATGAACGACCATGTTGAAAAGTGATTCCAATAAATATGCCTTTGTGTAATTGACCTGGGAGTTCTGATCTATACCTCCAAACAATAGATTATATCCATAGGTGGCCAGCTCAATTTCCCCATAGAGTTATAACGATTGACCTGATTTGGCTGGGCTGAAACCTCTGTTTCGCTCGGGGCCAAACAAAAGGACGCTGTGGTGAGGTTGTGCGCTGAGATGTGGCTTTGCTTGATTCATATCTCGATGCTTCGTCTGAGTCAGATCACCTCTGATCCCAACTCCAAACCAGAGGGGGAAGGGAGCTCCTGGACGGACTAACGAAGGCAACAAATGGCCAAGATGGAAATCGATAGATAAGAGTGGCAGTGGATTACAAACGGTATCCCAATGTATTTCTGTTCAAAATACAACAGAAATCCTAAAAATATGGCCGTGTACATTGAGTTTAATACTAAAAAGCTTTGATACCTTTTGTGTTTTACATAATGTTGGATTACAGGAGTCATCTTGCCTACATAATTAGTTTAAAATGTGTTCATGGTGCCCTCTAGAAACTCATTTTAAGCATTACATAATTTGAAGTCATATTGAAATAGCTAAACTAAATATAACGAGACAGGCAAATAGTATAACCTTTCCTAAATTAGATTCAAATGTTCTTATGGTAATCCGTAAGTCCTTTTTGTTTGTCTCCTCATGCTGCCTACTTTTCTTTCCAGCTAGTTTCCTCTTAAAATGTTTCCAATAAAAAATGCATTATGCATAATATAATAGTTAAATGGACGCTTAGTGTTGAAATGCAAATGAGCTTTGGTCCATTTGCATTTGAAATTTACAAATGGACTCAATTCCAATAATTGATAATATTAGATTTAGGTCACAATGGACGAAGAGTTAATCGACATTTGCAATGCTCGTGCTGGGAGCGGATGTGGTTTTAATGAATAGCATTTTGCAATGAACGCTAAATGTCTTTCCAATACGTCCTCGTGATGTAGACAGATGCTTTTCAATGTTTCACGGCGTGCAACAACAAAACATGGCGGTGAATTAATGAATCCGGTTGACTGCCAGATATAAATGACCATTCTATCGCTTTGTATGTCCAGAACCATCACCCAGCTCTAATGACACGGCCCAATATTTATATGAGCTCTGACTGCGTGGTGTATCACCAGCAGGGGAGCATGACACATCCCCTAAATGCTGGCATCTGCTCTCTGTCCCCGCGAGGCTTTACATTGATTCCAGCAGATTTCCAAAGTGATTTTTGTAAGAGCATTTGCCTGGGATTAGTTTGCTCCGGAAAGCTCCATCGGAGCTTTTGGTGGGCTATTTAACAGAGCAGAGACGGTGAGAGGCCTCACGGGCGCTCCCTCGTCCACGGGGGGCCCGCACAGATAAAGAGGGAGGATTGGTTTCAGCCAAAGCTGATCTTCCATCTTGTGTGTGGGGTTTTGGAGGTCAGGTACAGGTGTAGGGGGTTTGAATCCACGAACAATCCGTTTAAGCTCTGCTGGATTTGTTCTGTCCAGCTTAGCCTTACTTTCCTTTCGTGAAAAGTTCAACTGTGAGGGAATGACAGAGGAGTGGAAGGTCTGAAGAAGAAGATCTGCTTTAAATTCCCCTTTCTCCGATAATTCTGTGTCTCGCCGCTCTTCTTTTATCAACAGGGACCAAACCTGTTTTTGGCAAATAATCATGTTAACTGACGATTTGCAGGCATCAGTTGAGAGGGGAAAGTAAACAGGATTATCGAGCTGCATGTTGATTTAGGTCCTCTCGCGTCCTTCTGTGTGCTTTAGTTTCCACCACGCCACTTATAGGCTGCTGAGCGGTGGAGATCACAAGCAGGAGCTGGCAGACTAACAGCTTGGGATGGGGCGTACGGCCGAGGGTGAGTCACCCTCAAGCGCAGACTCGAAAGGGGGAACGGAAGGCAGTTGAGCAACGAGAACAAATATCAACCTCCTTGAGCGCAATGGTCCTGGTTTGAACCGTGAAATGTTTCAGAAAACAACTCTCTTGAAAGACGGCTTTAGAATGAGCTTATTCGCACTGTTCCAGGTGCTCTACGATGCGCTGAGTCCACGTCAGGGGGTGTCGTAAACATCAGTTTAATTTGAATTTCATTGTTTCTGACATTGATTTGATAGCAGATGGGTTCAGCTTGAATGTCTTACGGTCACGTGTGTTTGTAAGTACATTTTTCAAACACAGACCAGAACACACCTTTGTTGAAATGTTATTTAACACCAACATCCCACATATTCAAAGTCTCTGTCCTCCATCGAGGGGCTTTAACTGGATGTAGAATAAATCTGCGCCAGACAGGAAATAGGCTAATCTCCTCCATTTCCAAATGTTTTTTTGTTCCAATGTGAAACTGCAATCTGATGCTGGTTGTGGTAGCGGCGTTGCGAGGAGCTCTCGGGGGTCACCATGGGTCATGTGTGGATCTCCTGCCTGTAGTGCACGCACTACCTTGCCCACGTGCTGTTTCTTCCACTGCCCGACAGTAGCAGCAAAGGCTCCACGGTGGCTTTAGAATGCGCCCTAACAAGTTGTGCGTGTGTGTCCCCTGCAGTCCAGGGCCTGCAGTGCTATGGCTGCAACATCATCCAGGGCCAGAGGTACGTGGACGTGGGCTGCTCCAACCCAGAGGTCATCACCTGCACCCACTCGCACAAAGGCTTCAAACACCGCTTCTGCATCAAGACGGAGAGCAGTGAGTAAAACTCGATGACCAACGTGTGTGACTAACGGGCTGAAATCACAATCTTCTGTCACGTTCATCCCCCAAGTCAGATAGCTGCTGCGTCTGATATTTATTTAAAGGATATCTATGGGGAAGTGGAGGATTGTTAAATCATGATGCATACCCGCTGGCGAGACACTGGACTCTGGCATAATCATTTTTCATAATACTTTCATGCAAATGTTCTTTGTCTGCTGATGTGAATCTTATATTGCTCCCTGCACTGAGGGTAGTTACATAAGCCTACTTTTAATAAGTAAATTATAAGCCATTCCTTGTTTGATGTTAATGCAAGTGGAGGATGTGGACACCCAAGACAGGAGAGTGATGGTCAGTCGAGTAGTTCTGCTGATATCCATGCAAGCGTGGACCATCCAGCTGTTCCTTTGCCTGATGTCTAAAGGATCCACTGGTGTTGAAAGGGGCTGATGAGGCACCTTTTCCCATTCGCTCAGAGAAACAGCAAGCTCGGGGGAAAAAAAGGACTGACAACAGCCCATCAGAAACACTATGACGAGCAGTTGTTGGTCAAAATCTGGGAGCGCCGTCTTGGCAGCCCGTTAATCTTCATGTGACCCCGCCAAACCCGAAACGAACAGATGCTCGTGAAGTTCCGTAAGAGTCTTAAAGAGTCCCCTTTGTCCCGAAATACGAGACATCTGTCCTTCGTCCATTACTAGTCCAGGGCACTTCTCTGTCCCGAACAACATCCTCTCACTCCTGAGCCGCCTGTTACGTTATAGCTGTGTGAATAGATTCTTGACACTATCTGCTGTGCATCTGGGACCTGATCACTATAAATGGCTGAAAGGCTGTGAGGTGTTAATTGAGAGCAGTGAGGTGCTCAGTAAAATGTTATTATAGAGAAGCAGGGTGGAGAGGCAGAAGTATGGCTCCCTTTTATTTAGAATTTGCTCATCCCAAGTATTGCTGCTCCAAGAATTGATTTATGAATTGTAGTTTTATTGGTTTTTGAGATTCAAAGACTCAAACCAATGGGAATACCTCACAAGCTCTAATACAGTTATTACATGAGGTCAGTTCAAGCTTGCATGCCATTCTCCAAAATCAACCAGAGTAACGAGAATATGCACATTATTTGCACATAAATGTGGATTTCAAACCGGATTACCAAAATGTACGTGTTTGCAAGTTTCCAAATTATATAAACACGTTTTGTGGGATTGCAAAGTCTCCACATTGAACAGTACTGAGTGTACTATTTGTCAGAGAGAGAGCTCGTCCTCTCAGCTGAGAAGACATATCCTGCAAGGTCTCACGTCTCATTACACACTTGCGCTTACTTCTGCTTTTTTTTCTTTCTTGCTGAGCCAAACGCCAGCTCGTCACTCTTCCCTGACTGACTGTCTTCCACCCCTCTGTCCCCCCCAGCGGCCCTGGGAATCCTCCTGACCAGTGGTTGTGCCACATCCAGACACTGCCAGCAACATGAGCTGCCGGGGGTGCGCATCCACTGCTGTGACTCGGACCTGTGTAACAGCGCCGCCTCCTGGCACCCGGGCGCACTGCACTACATCGGTGCCCTTTTCGGCCTCTTGCTGCTGAGGATGTGGTTGTGATATGGAGTCAGTCTGGAGAGGGACATAAAACCAGTGGACTATGAGGGGTGGGGGGGGTTACTGGCGAGCACCTTAAAATAGAAGCTTTGGTTACACTGTTACCTTGGATTTACACTTTACAAAAATAACCTTGTGAATATGTTGCAAAATAACTACAAAGCAGCTTGCAGTCATCCGTGACTTTTTTGTGCAGATCCACTTACTTAAATGTAGCGTGAGGTACAGTGTATAGGATGCTTAAGAACCATTTGTTGCCATTAAAGAAAGATCTTAGAGTCATAATGTCAGTTCACGCCTCGTATCAGATACACAGACGTGATAATAAAGGCTTACATACTTGAACAGTAAGACATAAAGGATATTTGACTTGTTATGCAGTTCATATTTTTTCTCAAGATCAGATCTTTGTTGTGCAGTATTTTCTTTTAAAGTCACCGTCATTATTTACTTTGCAAAGGTTAATATATTTTTTTTAGATTGCTGTTCAGTTGTTCCCATGGTTGGGAAAGCACACTGCATGTGGTTGTATGTGAAATTGTAAACATATTGTACAGTGAAAGCATGTTATGTTGTTAATTACTGAATTAAAATGTTTCATATTTTTTTAATGTGTTTGAAATTGAAATTAGCGTCATTGATGAATGTCACATTCTGCAAAAGATCAGAGCATTAAAATAAAATGGGATTCACATGACTTCATTCAAGCCGTAGGCTGATCAGAAAGGATATGAATACATATTAGACTCATGTCAAATAGATAGAGAAACAAATGTTTTCTGCTAAATAATAATATAGCAGAAATAGAACAACCACCTAGTCCGGGTATCAAACAATCCCAGCCTATAAAATGTGAGTTATACACACTAATACTGGAGAAAAACCTTTACATATGGACAGTTTAGCAGAATGGAGGGGTCTAAATATTGAATAAATAGCTCACTGCAAAAAAAAAGTGTAATCATCGCACAGTTCTTTCCTAAATAACCCAATAATAAATGTGAACCTGGTTTCGGTTGATTTGCATGAACACAAGGAAACGATATCAACGAAGAAACCATTGCAATGAAAAAAACATCTACAGTGCCGATAGAGATCCCAATATTATCTGAGAAAAAGTAAAAGACACTGCCAAAGATATTATTCTTGAAGAAGAGCACTGTTATGCATGTTCAAATGAAACCAGATATTTGTTTTTATTCAAATTGTTCTGCAGTGGTGCAACTATACAAATTACTGACGTACTCTACGCAATCTAAGCATTTGTTCATGTTCACATTTTATTTTAATGTGGACCCCAGGAAAACTAGTTGCTCTAGAAGAAAACAAATAATGGGGAAATAAACAATAAAAATATACTTTGAGGCATACAATGGCAAAGATTGACTAAACCTCACATATCCAACTTCAGATCAGTGTGACATAAGGTGTGCAGGGTTTCTTCAAAAGGCTGAAGCAGCAGCTTCATGATCTTCTGATCCCAGCTCAGTGATGAGTAATACAATCTCTGATCAGTAAATTTCGTCGGCTAATCTGACACCGCACTGTTCAAAGTATCAACAAGCGTGCCAGTTCAGGGAGCTCGGATACACCTGCGCAGGTGCACGGACGGAGCACACACCTCAAACCGCCGCATATGATGCTCTTTGTCCCAGAAGCCCATTGTGTGGAGCGGAGGAAACCCTGTGCCGCGAGCAGCCATCTTGGATAGGACTGATCACACTTGAGCCAGGATAACCTGCATTCCTCTTCTAAACAGACCAAGAACACAAAAGCTCACCCGACCGAATTCCCGGTAAGGACAGAGAAAAGCAAATACTTTGGCGTACTCGTAGATACGCCCCGTTTAACGGACGGGCGCTGGTATTTTAATCATGAAATGCTTGGCACAGTTAAGCTAGCCTGTGTTTGCCGAGAGTCCGCTAACTGGCAAGCTAACGGGGCTAGCTAACAGATGGCTAATACCAACACTAAGTAGTTTTTTCATTCATCATTATCGTAAACTTCAGAGAATGGCATGTGTTACGTATTACACCGCGATAAATGGTGGTTGTTTGCAAGAAATCACTTGATCGGCAGTGACTCTATGGGTTGACAAGCTACCTAAAACAGCGTATTTACCGTAATCCAACCATCGCAGCTAACTGCCAAGCTAGCATGCAAGACATAGCTGGCTTTCGTTGGTTCGTGGTGGCTTTTGTAAAATAATGCCGAGATGAAGTTGGTCTTCTAACATAGTTACGCTAGTCAGGTGACACTGCCCCGGTAGTTTGTGTGCCGCCAGTGGCAAATGTCTTACGTCTTGTGATTTATGCTATTTGTTGTCAAGACTGTTATCCATTGAGCCCAGCGAGCTGCTAACTAGCCGACGCTAAACTCTGGCTGTCAAAACCGCTAATTTAAGGGCCGTGATTGTTATCAGACGCGATCGTGTCTTTTGGATTTAGCCACGCAAATGTCAGGTTGTATTTACTGTATCGCTTACTAATATTGGTAGCTTTTTAAAGAGATGTCTGACAGCCCACAATCAACCAAACCGATGCTGTCAATTGGCCGGTTTGTTAAAGTGAGCTATCGACGCTGGCTGGGAAGCAGGCGTGACGTTATGGTGTCAAATAAAAGTGATTACATGGCGCACAACGGTGGTGTTAGTTTGGATTTTATATACAAATCGTTCCTTTTTACTTCTGTTCACTAGTAAGTTGCATTGGCGATAATGTAGTAATCTGTTAACATAACTTAAGGTTTGATAACTCCTTAGCCAGCAGGGTGTTAGCCTCCTTTTTGGCTTCACTTTTCCTAACGGATAGGTCTGACTTGGATGTCTTGGATATCTATTCGGAGAAAATGTTGCATCATTTATAATTATTGTGCCAATGCACTCTGCGTGAGTAGACTTGATCTGAAACTTTAACAACAACGTCACTTATTATTTTTTGAATTGTATGCATTTCAAAGCCTGTAAACGACATTGATGATGTCATACAAATTATTTAAACTAGTCACATGATTTGAATAGCAGGCCTGAACGCCAAGAAAGCAATGTGACCTTTTGACTTCCTGAAATGTTGTGCTCAGATTCTTGCATAGTGGCTTCTAAATGGGAAGCGCCTGCTGAGAGGAGGAAAGGCGATGACAGTGTTTCTCTGGAGAAAGATTCCGTAGGTTGGGGAGAAACGCTGAGGCTGCAGTCTGGGCACATGATCATGACGCACTCATGGGGTTTATTTCTTCTTAATGAGCACAAAAAAGAAAGGTTTGGTCTCAAAATGTAATTGCAGCTTGTTTACCCCCCTTAATCTGGTTAACATGCTCTAATCACTTAGTTTCCAGAGCACCGGAAACCGCCACACTGCCTGTAAATATGCCACGTGAGGGTCATGTGACAGGAGGCAGACTGGAGAAAGGCCCTCAGATCGTGCGCTATGATTTTAAACAATCACAATGGTGTGATTTGTTGCTGACCGCTCTTTCACTTTGAAACCTGCTTAGTCCAAATTCATTAACTACCATCACATTAAGTGGATTTCAAGCGGTTTGAAATATGAAAAGCCCATTCAACAGTTGATATAGAATGATTGCATTAGGTGATAGGGGATTAATTTATACTATGGTTATTATAAAAAAAACAGCGGATGTAACGCAGACACGCTTGATCGATAGCGTGCTTATTGCCTGAGTTAGCTAGTTGGTGTCAGCCGGAGGAATTTACTAAATGTTGGGTCAAGTTGCAGAGTTTGTGGAGGACTGTTACTGAGAGACAAATCTTTTTCTGAGGCATCACAAACACCAAAACTGTACTGGCTTCCTCTTTTGAGTTGTTTACAGAAATGGTGAGACATGTTTTTCTTTATCAAATTCGATCTCCTGAAACATGCAAGTTGTATTGGTTATTGAATGCTATTTTCTTATAATTTATCTCTGAGCATATGTGTACTCTTGAGGTTCAGTATCAGGAGGGTACCCGACCCAACACCATTTTCATTAAAGCAACATTTTGACCTGTATTAACCATCGCTAAATCCCTCTGTGGGTCATCTCTCTTTTCCGTCTCTGAGCCTCTGCATTCACACGCTTTCTAAACTCCATCTTTCACGTGTCTCTTCCTGTCCCAGTAAAATCGTTTTTTCCTCTTCATCTGTTTGCATCATTTTCAATTCCCCCCTCTCTCTTGAGATTCTGAAATGACAGCCGTCTACATTTAGTCCGTTTGTGTCACTGTCAGCCTTAATCTGGCCGGTCAGACCTGGTCAACGTACTGCAGATACTGGAGCTTGAGCACGCGGCTCCCATGTGGCAGTGATTTCCCCTCTGCTGCGGATCAGAAAACTGCACTGGCGGACCGTCTTTGCCGGGGACACGGAGACCGTCCCGCTGCAGCATGATTACGTGCCCAATTGTTAAGCCTGAATTATTTACCTCTCTACAGGAGTTGCGCTGAACGGCAGCACCTTGACGGAATATCAAAGCGGTCGTCATCCAGCACAAATACCACATTGGCCTTGATGTCAGATGACAGTGCAAAGATGATTTGAAAGGGGACATTGTTAATGAGAGAGGCGTCCTGCTTTCTAAAACTGCCTCGCTGATGTCCTACATGGCCCGATTTTATTCACGCACAACTTTTTTTAGCGTTTTATTTATTATAGTGTATTTTTTTCAATGGTATTTCTCTTTTTGTTTATAGTTTATTCATGGGGCGAAAGATTAATGAAACCAAAATAAGTCGAGCTGTTATTCAGTAAGCCGGCGCATATGTGGTCAGGCTTGAATTTGAAATGTTTAGAGTGTAGTCGTTGCTCGTAAAACGATTAACTTGTACTTTTTAAGAAAAGCATTTCCATCTACAACACAACGACTTAAAGCTCTTGCTGGGATCCTCTCAAAACGAGAAAACAGCAAAGTTCTGTCACTTCACATGCTTAAACTCCCCCCTTTTCTCTCCCTTTGCAGAGCCACGATGGCCACTGCACCGTACAACTACTCCTACATTTTCAAATACATCATTATCGGTAAGTGAGCAACGCAGTTCACGGAGCGTACTCCCTCAATTTTTTTTTCCAGAGATGTCTCTGCGTGACTGCTTCCATCTGTTGCGAGGTAGCAAGTGCTACGTTAGTCAAATTGACCACTACCGATGTTCTGCAGCCCACGGTTTAAAATGTGATTTAAGGGGCCGTATTTAGAAATGAATCCGCAGTACCATAATGCCATCCGTGCTCCGTGCCACTTATTAATAAAATATCTTACCGTGCTCTGCAAGTGTTCATTTTTAAATGTCATTCCCCAGTTTGAATCACGGCCCACTTTTGCTCAACATGTGTGTTAGCGTGAACATGCGTGCTGCTTTTACTTGTACAAATATGTACGGAGTGACGAATGCACAGACGAGCACAGCGTGAGCTCGGGGGCTATTTACCCTCCTCTCACGTGGCGCGTAGAACACGCTGGCTCTGTCATCGGCGTGGACCGAAAGAAAGATGTGTGTCAACAGTTTTTGAAGCGCCGCTACTGCTTCTACCATCGCTACTTCGCTTTTTGGATTCCTTTGCCATTTTAAAAAGGGAAGTCTGAAGGTCTTGTGATCTTACTCGTAACATGTTATTCTCAGACGCTTTGGATGTTTCTTGCAGAGTAAAACAAAGGCAAAGGCCGTGTGTGTATGACGCTTGGTGTTTTTAATTCATATTACCGATGAAAGCGTGACATGGTATTCAATGTGAAAAAATATATAGTTTTTTTTTTTTGTCTTATACACATTTCATTGCCCAAACTCTGCATTAACACATCATATTTAAGTCTTTGTCGCTTTTCATTCAATTTTATATATTGTTGCTGATGTTTCTCAGAGTGGCTTGAATAGAGAATTGTTCTTCCTTTGCTATTTAGTTTATCTTTCTCTGATTTTCTCTCTCTCCATAGGGGACATGGGGGTAGGGAAGTCATGTTTGCTCCACCAGTTCACGGAAAAGAAATGTAAGTGCCTCCCCGATTTTTGACTGTGTGTGTGTGTGAGAGATTGCCAGGTTTAACTGGAGTGCCTAAATCGCTTTGGATTTCTTTATGCCCAAGCGGAAGCTGGTGGCATAGAAGTAGTGTGAGCTCTTCTATGTGCGAGTCAGCTGCAGTCTCCCATTGCCATTCAGCGCTACTATCAACGAGCCAGATGCTGTGATCCTCATTCACTCTCCTCCCATCACATCCTGCGCACACACACACACACACACACACACGGGGGGGATTTAGAAAAGCCTTTTTAAGAATCTGTTCAAAAGAAATCCGAAGCTTTATGGGCGTTGATGGTTAAAATCTTATCACCGAGTACGATTACTCTAAATGTTTAATTATTGAGGCACCTGCTGCTGACTCACAATGGAGGGAGGTGACGTGTGTGCACAATGATGACATTGTAAGAAAACGCACTTCCTGTCCCATAAACTGCACGTGGTTCTCTGGTTTATCTTCAATTAAAAAATATGAAAGTTATTCTCTCATAGTCAAACTCTCGTTAAATGTTAACATCTCAAAAATGATTTAAATGGACGCATGGTAAATGATGATCACAGAAGTCGTGTAGCAACACGTATGACAATGTGAGGTGTAAAATGGCAAAAGTAAAGATAACAAAAAAAATAAAAACTCACAGTAACCTCACTTCCTCTCCAAAGTCATGGCGGATTGCCCCCACACGATCGGCGTGGAGTTCGGCACGAGGATAATTGAGGTGAGCGGCCAGAAGATCAAGCTGCAGATTTGGGACACGGCGGGGCAGGAGCGCTTCAGGGCCGTCACCCGCTCCTACTACCGCGGGGCCGCGGGGGCCCTCATGGTCTACGACATCACCAGGTACAGGCGGCCTGTCACGTGTTGTGTGTTGTGTGTGTGTGTAACCATAATTTAAATACTCCACATGCGGGATGTCTTTCCACACCCCACTCCTGCAGGGGCCCCGGTTAAACTGCACTTATGTGGCAGGAATAACGGGAACGGTTTTCATGACCGCTCTCAGGTTCTGTAGGGCCAGTTGACACAGATGGGGTTCAGAGCGTGCAGGAAACTCCAGATGTTCTTATATTATTTAATATTGTCGTACTGTGTACAACTACGACAAATGGCATTTAAAGAAATGTCTCCCCCTCTGTTACGGCGTTGGCCTGCTCCCATTGTCGTACCATCCTGGTGATGTGGCAGCTGCACGCTCTGTCCTGATCCCTCCCAAGAGGGAGCAGCGGTAAGTAGTTTCCCCATCGCCATAGTAACCCCCCCGTCCCTTTTGTCGGTGTCATGCAGGAGAAGCACATACAACCACCTCAGCAGCTGGCTGACTGACGCCAGAAACCTCACCAACCCCAACACTGTGAGTACACGTGCAGAGACCTTTTCGTTTTGGAATCTTTGTCTTTTGCTCTTAAAGTGTCCCTGCACCCAGCGCCCTCCATATTGTCTATTCTTTATCACCCTGCGTCGTCCAAAGCTGCAGAGCCATGTCCATTTCTTAAATTGGATTTCTTGGTAAATATGATTAGCTCTAAAACACAGTGCTCTCATTTACGGAGCAGTGTGACCTCCCGAGCAGCGTGTTCCAGTTTGCCACTTTCAGCCCGGGTTTTCCACATCGAGTGAAACATTCTTTCTGCTGTATAAACAGAGCGGTTTATTAAAATCCAACTATTTTATATGCCCATAGGGGTACTTTTTCAACCATATTTTCTTTGGCTCATTTAAGGTTCAATATGGTCACAACGTAAACCGTACTACGCTTTTATCAATATTATTATTGTAAGTTTTTTTTTTATGTCACCTTGACTTAAAATCTAGTCGTGTAGCCGGTGAGCCGGAGCTGTTCTTCACAGAAGTGTCTTGTACCGGCCAGGCGGTGGCAGTGTGGTGGTCTGTTTACGGCTCTTTTTGCTTTGAGGGAGTTTGTTTGCTGATGATCACATTATGTGTGAGAGGCACCGTAGACGTCATCTGAATAAAAACACCAGTTGTGTAAGACTTCTTGATATTTAGGAAGAACTTCTAAAAAAAAAAAGTTTACTTTTCCCCCCCAATAACAAAGAATAGTTCCAAAAGTGTGACTTTAATTCAATGTTCAAATTGGTATCCAATCAACAACCTTCGACAATACTTCGGACAGCATTGTCTCACTGTGCTAGTTCCATGTCCATGTGTCTTTGTACTTCCAGGTGATCATCCTCATAGGAAACAAAGCCGACCTGGAAGCCCAGAGAGATGTCACGTATGAGGAAGCGAAGCAGTTTGCCGAAGAGAACGGTGAGCAGAGGAGGGAAGAGGTGTTTCATCATCCGTCTCCCAGTGGGATCCGGGTACCTCAAGTACTCTCATCATTTCTGGCTGCTTTTAAGATTGATCGTTCTCAATTTCATCAAAAGGTCACAGCAATCGTAACAAGATGTCCGTAATAGAAGCCCTTAAGGTTGAATTCAAGAAAGCGCAGTGAGGAGTGATGTCTTTGAACCCAGGAGGAGTCGGCTGGAGCAGAGCTAGTCGTTGAGCGAGCGAATGAGGAACTTGGTATTTGAGGCATGTGAGCTTGTAACCGTGTCTTACTGACTGCGTCATCACATCTGCTCAATGTCCTACAGGTCTGTTGTTCCTGGAGGCCAGTGCAAAAACGTAAGTGCGCACAGCTTCAGGCCACTTGAGCAGAACATGAAAACGTCACCCGCTGCCTAGATTCTAACCCCGCAATTAGCCTCCTTCCTCACCTCCCTCCCTCTCTCTCCTTCGTGCGCTGCTTTCAGAGGTGAAAACGTCGAGGACGCCTTCCTCGAAGCCGCAAAGAAGATCTACCAGAACATCCAAGATGGCAGCCTGGACCTGAACGCCGCCGAGTCCGGGGTCCAGCACAAGCCCTCGGCCCCCCAGGGCGGCAGGCTAACCAGCGAACCACAGCCGCAGAGGGAAGGCTGCGGATGCTAATGACCAAGCAACCTCCCCCTCCCCCCATTCTCCCTCCCTCCCTTCCTGTCTCTCCGCCCTCCCTCCCATCATCCATTCCTCCACCTGCGTACGTCCATCAACCCTCCTCCCTCGGCGCACCAGGAGCTGCGAAGGGAAGTCGCCGGATGTCGACTTTGGCCAGACTGAACCGGGCTGTGTGGACTACATAACCCCCCCCCCCCCCCCCCCCCCCCCCCCCCCCCCCCCCCCTCTCAAACCCTGTCAGTGTGTTCTCTTCCCATAACTTTCGCTCTCCTCCTCTTGCACCATTCAGTCCCCCCCCCTTCACGTCATAGTATCGTAGACGCCACCACGCATTTCACGTGTTACTGACACTTTAGATCGATGTAACATTCTTACGACGATGATAAACCGAGACTGTTTTTTTTAACGTTTGGTTTTATAGCTATATACGACATGTAAACAAAGCATTTAACACATATTCCCTTCCCTCAGGGCTCCAGTGCTATTTGAACTTCGGGTAGAAAGATTTCCTCTCGGATGTTCTTGCAGCATGGGTTACCACTCATCTTTCTTTTAATATATCGCAGCATCCAGACAGAGACGGCAATAGAGGACTGCATTCATGCAGCCACACAGGTAGGAGCTTCTTAAGTGTGTGCGTCTGCGTGTTCCCAAGACGAAAACAGGCTCTTCTGTGTATCTGATGTGCTTTCGCATCGGTTTCTTCGCACCAGCTCCCCTCTCATGACCCATCCGACCCCAAAGCTTCTCCCCCAGCTCATATCAACAAGGTTTCTGTCTTAACCAGCATTTTCTTTATGGTTTGTTGCCTTATTATGCTTCATGTTATTACACTTTAATCTCTATTGTATTGCTGCACTTCCTCTTCTTCCTGCTATTCGACTCACCCCAAACAACTTTTTTTTTGCATTTTACTGGAGAATTACGTAAAAGTGGTGGCTCAACTAGTCCAAATATCAGCAGCACTAATCTGCTGTTCCTCTGCCTTGTATGATACAAAACCAAGCAGCATGCCCCCACCCTCAAATACAGTGAAAGTTGTTTTTTTTTTCTCCCCCAAACACCTTTTGTGTATGATAGTGATTCCCTGATTGGACGGCTGTACATATTGCTTCTTAACTATCGGTGATGAACTCGCTACTCTACAATTTAGAAATGTATTTGCTCTGCTGAGATCTGTACAGTTGATGTGCTAGTGGGTTTGCCTGTAATTCATGCTTGGGAAATTCTGTAACATAGTTTCTAATAAATGTATGTAAAGGATAGATCCCCTCCCCCTGCACACTACTGAATCTGTCAATTGGTTGAGGGGGAGAGGAAGTGGATTGATACGATGTGCAGACTAGTATGTCTACGAACTCTTGATTCCTCTTATGGAGAACGGGGCACTTTTCTTTTTCTTCATCCATGGGAGGGGCCTGCATTGCTGTCTTAACCTTTGGGGTGTGGGGATTGGTTTGTTATTGTGGGAAGTTGGTGGGCAGGGTCTCTTTCTCCTGTGTCCCACCTCTGCAGTCTGAGTGACCACTTCCTGCTTTTGTCTGTCTGAGTACAAAAAAAAAAGTACATATGTATAAATTTTTAAAGGAGCTGTGCTAACATTTAAATGCATTCTTGAGTGTATATGATTTTAAAATGTTGACTTTGATTTTAATGACAATACTCTAGACAGAAATAAATTATACATAACCTGTTATTGTCTTATTGTTTTTACTGAAGAAAAACAAGCGCATAAAAATAACTAGACTCAGTCAAGTCTTTCAAGTAGCATAACTGCTTGTTATTTTATTGCACCATGGCTAGAGAGAAATATATTTACAAAGGAAAGCAAAGTTTGTCTACACAAATTGGTGACGAGGCTTTGACATTAAAGATGAGTAGTGGTATGGTGATAAGGAGCAGAATATAAAACAAAGCCAACACTGACAGTACCATGTGGAAGTCTGGACAGGCATCGCAGTCAGATCGGGCACATGGGGGGGGCGGCGAATACTGAGTGTCCCACAGTCACTGACGAGCATTCAGGAACGTTACAGTGGAATCGGAGAGGCTTCTACTCGATTATGGTCAAGCAAGTGAAGGCTCCATAAACATTTCAGTCCAGTGTTTCCCCCAGGATACATATTGTTTTCTGCTGGGGTGGGAAAAGGCCTCTGAAACAGCATTTAAGCCCTCCGTCGACACCTCTTCTCGGGCAGAGAGTCCTTTCAATGGCCAGAAGAAAAACGCCGTCTGTGACCTCCTCCCCTTCACAGGTCAGACGGCGTGCTGCTGCAAGGCCGAGCCGCTACTGATGGCTTTTGGTGACTGGCAAAGTTGGATCAGTTGAATAAAAATAAGACAAAAAAAAAGGTCCAGTCCAAAGACGACAAAACAGTCGGATCCGCTGAGTAGCAGATCGCGCACCATGGTCCCTCTCCAGTACAAAAAGGTTTTTGGTATGACAAATCACACATCCGATAAACGAATCAACGCAGCGATCCGTAACCACGACACTTGTAAAGTGGTGCATCTTGAACAGTGGCGTTTTAAGGCACTTTTTGTTACCAAAGAGAAAAAGGCCAACAGCTCATTCCGCCGCATTCGTTTGCTCCCGCAGTTCCTTTATGGCACAAGAAGCGGTCGACTCATACAGGACAATCTTTGTTATCACTCATCACACAACCGATCACTGATGAAACGGCACTAAGCGATGCAAAATGATGGGACGTGTTGCACAGAGGCTCCATTCCAGAAGCTCCCCAAATTCTTACAGGTGACTATGGAAACTACGACATCAGTTGTTTAAGTCTTAAAAAGGCATCATTAGAACAGGTTGAGGTTAAGTGTTTTGTTTTTGCTCATTGTCACTAGCGTCGATAAAAACAAAAAACAGAACCACCAACAGTGGTGGAAACAAATATCACAGGCCTCTTTTCTGCCAGCGCCATCGATAAAACACGAAACACAACTAGAATACACAAGACATGATCATTTCAAAAATGATTGCTGAAAAGTCACGTTGATAAAAGAACGCCTCTCACAAAAAGGCCAAAGGAATGTTCTTTCATGGTGAAGGCTTTTTCAATATCACAAACTCCGTCTGACGTCGTCGACGGAGGGGTTCAAGTCATAGTGACACGCGGCCTGAAAGGCTTTCAGAGTGAAAACCTACACGCTGCTGCTGCTGCTCTCACCTCACACCTCCGGCACGAGCTCGCCGGCTGCAGCAGTTCATGCTCGCAGACAGAAGGGAAGTCTTAGATACAGTTCATGTCAGTTTTACATCTTGGCAGTTGGAGTTTTTTTTTGTTGTTTTGTTGTTGCTGCGCTACCTCTGAACAATGTCACCGATCTCTTTGACGGAGGACAGCAGCTTGCTGAAGTCCTGCTGGCCGCTGGCGCCCCCCGTGGTGGCGGGGCAGATCTGCAGCTCGCGCAGGCTGTTCTCCAGCTTGGTGATGGCCTCGCGAAAGGCAAACTTGTTCCTCATCTGCTGTATGGAGTCCACGTAGCTCCAGCAGTACTTGGACAGGTTCTTGCCGGCCTCCAGCACGGCGCTGTGGCTCCCCGTCTGCTCAGAGTTGCGGCAAATGGCGGCGCGCAGCAGCTCGGCGCCCTCCAGCACCATGTTGCACGTCACGGCCGAGTTGGGGGTGCGCTCGGAGGCCTGGCGCGGGGCCGTCTTGCGGAGGGAGCGCCGGGTGTTCACCAAGGGGATGAAAGCGGTGGTCGAGCTCAGGTCGCTGGGGGAGGAGAGGGAAGCGGAGAACCCGCCCGGGCTGGAGAGGGAGGTGGTCACAGAGGTGGGGGTCTTTGACGGCTGAGGTTTGGCGGTGGAGCCCGGGGGCAGCTTCTTGGGGCCCTCGCTGAGGGGTGAGCGGGCGTGGTCGCTGCCAGTGGTTGTGCTGTGGTGGAGCTCCGACAGAGAGGGGAGGCCCTTAGCTTTGCTCTCGGAGGTGGAGGATGCGGGAGAGGGGAGATCTTGAGTGGGGCTGCGGGACATCTTGCCCGTTTTGGCATTGGTGGGTGGTGGAGGCGGGGCCGGCTTGGGTTTCTGTAACTTTCCCCTCTCCCTAACCGACGAAGGGTCCCCCGGGTGCCGTGTCGGCGGGCCTTGCACTCTTCCCCAGCGCCCTAAGCAGGGAACACATTGGGCTTGAGAAGCTCGGCGTGGAGAGCGCTGGTCCTGGAGTTCTCCAGGCCCAGCAGCCCCGACCTCCTGACCACTTTGGGCGTCAACGCCTGGGGACTCGAACCCGAACCTGGCTCGGCGTCCCTGCCCGGGAAGGCCGAGGAACCGTCCGATAAGGTGTTCAGGCGCGGCGGGGGAGTCAGGGTGCCCTTTCGAGGGGCGGCCTCCCCTTTTTGCTCACTGGTTCTCTTGCGGGGCAGAGCGGGCTTGCCCCCGAGGGTGCCCGAGTCAAAGTGGCGCTGGCCGAGGTCTCGCGGCAGCGTGACAGACTTCCACTCGGTGCCGTCTCGGCCACTCGGCATGCTGGAGGACCAGAGGAAGCGCTTCGAGTTGGACATGGACTCCTCCTCACTCGGCGGCGTGGTCGCCACTTTCCCGCCGGGGCCGGGCACGGCGGGAGCCCCCTTCTTCCGGGGGAACAGAGGTCCCGGGTAGGTGGGAGCCCCGTTGGTGATGCCCCCCGCCCCGTTGTTGTTGCTCAGGAACTTTGCCGAGTCGAGGCCCTGTGTGATGTCATTGATGGCCAGAGACGCGCCGTTGTTGAAGCCGTCGCCGTCCCGGAGATCTGGAGTCGTGCCCCGCCTGTCGGGGTGGATGTCCATCTCTCTGAAGGAAGAGCTGCGTTTGGGCGGAGTTGGAGCATTCTTTTTCTTTTTCTTTATAAGACTGAGAAAGCCACTGCCTCGAGTCTTGTCCTTGTCTTTGGGTATCAAGCGGTCGTCCTCATTCAGGTTACTGTCCAGGCTGGGACGCTCCTTCCTGGGGAGCATGGGTGACGGCACAGCCACGTCCGGCTCCAGTGGGTCTGGGGAAGTGCCCAGATGGAAGGAGGAAATCATCAGTGATGAAGAAGAATACAATAGTTTTAGATAAATACTGCGTACTGCTACAAGGGCAGGAGGTGCAGTGGGTGTGATCGCGTTTCACCTGGACTGTCTCCATCCCGGTTCTCCATGTTTTTGCGGAGAGTTCTTGTTTTGGTGGGCAGCTCTGGAGCCTTCTGGGTGGGACCTAACGTTGCCTTCTTCCCCTTTTTGCCGAGTTCCTTTTCCACCTCTGACAGAAAACATATGAGTTGAGATTTCACATCTTGATAACTAAGAAAACAGAACCAGTGTGCATTTGTATTTGAATGAATATGATTAATATGAGTAAAGGGTGCTTTGGATATCAGCAGAACTGACCATCCGAGATGCTCGACTCCTGGAACATGGTCTCGAAGGCTTGGTGTGTCTCAGCAAAAGACGGACGTTCTGAGGGGTTCCACCTCCAGCCTGACAACGAGACGAACAAATCAGGATTTTCTAAATGCCGAGGAGCCCCCGTCTGAGGATTCGATCGGCGTTGCCACTCACAGTCCCTCATGAGGTCGTAGACCTTCTCGGGGCAGCCCTCTGGTCGGTCCATGCGGTAGTCTTTCTCCAGCAGCTCGTACACCTGGGACAGGTCGATGCCGGGGTAGGGAGACATGCCGTAGGTGGCGATCTCCCACAGCAGCACACCAAATGCTGGAGATGTAGGCACAAGACGGCTAGTTGTGCTATTCATACAAACAACCAACAACGGACACATGTCGAGAGCTAAATGACTGGAGTGTAAAATAGATTTTCACTGGTTGAACCTGCAGAGAGAAAGCTGTTCAAGCAGCATTTCAGCGTTCAGCTGCGAGATTACACCTACCCCAGACATCGGATTTAATGGAGAACTTGTTGTAGGCCAGACTCTCCGGAGCGGTCCACTTGATGGGGAACTTAGCCCCGGCGTGGGCCGTGTAGGTATCTCCAGTCATCAGCCGGCTCAGGCCAAAGTCCGCAACCTTCACCAGGTGGTTCTCCCCGACCAGACAGTTACGGGCAGCCAAGTCCCTGGAGGAGGAGGAGGATGGCCGATGAACAAGACGATGTGGTGGAATCACTTTATTAAACAGTGAAATACTCTCTCTTTGTTTTGGAGTGGAGGTCAGTATGTCTTGCTCCAACATTCACTGCAGGGTTGGACTTCTAGGGATTGTCTTGAGCGGATCAGAGTCACAAGCTGAGTCGGGTTTGAAAATGAAAATGCAGTATGGCAAATACAAAAGACATAACTCATCACATTGTTGTTGAGGGATCTTGTTAAACGGGACAGAAACAACGAGCTAACCAACAACACAGTCTTTAGAGAGCAGCTCAAGAATAAAGCTCGGACTAAGACCACACTGCCGACCGTCGGTACGCAGGCTGTCCAACTGTCAATTAAACCCAAATTCCATTCGCTCCGATTCTGTACCGTGCGATCTCGTTGATTTCCGAGTTAAACCTGGAAAAAGGAAACACAAGGTCCCTACGCCCACCTGTGTATAAAGTTTTTTTTCTCCAGGTACTCCATAGCAGAGGAGATCTGTGTGGCCATGTAGAGCAGCACCACTGCATTGACCTCCTCTCTGTTGCACTCCCTCAGGTAGTCTAGCAGGTTACCGTGGGTCATGAACTCTGTTATAATGTAGAACGGTGGTTCCCGTGTGCACACACCTGCAAAGCAAAACTCAAATCAATATTTACTGTATCCAAAAAGTCTTTTCAATCACAGGTTATACGATATAGATACAAGGCCTCTTTTGAAAGAGTTTACATACCCAAAAGTTGTACCAGGTTGGGATGTTTGATCTCTTTCATGACAGCTGCCTCCTTAAGAAACTCCTCCACCTCCATTGTATCCTCCTGGACAGCAAATGGCAAAACAAGTCAGCAAATGCAGAGGCTGGTTGCAGTTGCATCCAATCAACACAAGATGGCAGCATTGCTATTAGTATTATTATTAACAGCTGACAAAGTGTTCATATTTGACAAAAAGTAAGGGTCAAATGTGTCCAATCTCAACCTGGCTTTTACCTTTAGCGTCTTGACAGCCACGGTGAGGTTGTACTTCTTCCAAACCCCCTCGTACACCTCCCCGTACTGGCCCCCTCCCAGCTTGTGCTTCATGGTGATGTCGGTGCGTTCCATCTCCCACTTATCGTAGTTGGGAGAGACTCCGTAGATGGTGGGCTTGTTGCGCTTCGGCGCCGGGTAGTGCAGCGTGGTGATGAGGCCGTCGGACACCGTGGAATGGTGGTGCACCAGCTCCGCCAGCGTGTTGAAGCGGCTCTCCGACGACACGTACAGCTGCAGGAGAAAGAGGTTCTACATTTGAGTAGATGCACACGAGAGGTCAGGTCAGTTTGGAGTATATTGACAGTGTTGACACTTAAAATCCAAACAAAATGTCTGCCACAGTTTGGGGTTTTGGATCAATACAAGCTAAATTGTGATTTTCAATCTGCTCCTATTCGTGTCAAAGAACTTTGAAAGCAATGAGAAGCAGCTGTTATGACTTTATGCACCCAAATGTGTTCATACCAAGAGTACTTGTGAAAAAAAAAAAATGCATTTAAATGGCGGTGCTTGTACAAAGATGTCACGTCTGGAAACAGTCAAGGATTTTAGAAAAAGGCACGAGACCAGAAATACCTGACAAAGGGTCAGTAATACGCCGTGAAATAATGGTCCAGCTTGTGAATAAACAACAAACATTTTCTTCCTGGAGAACGGTCTTAGCCCATTAAACACTCACACGGCATGACTCGGGAAGCTGGTGGAGGGATAGATATCGGTCACAGCTCAGTGGACACAGACCGTTCCATTGTCCAGGTCTTACATAACCTCCAAAAGGATTTGCCCTACAATCTGCACTGTGCATTTCTGTACACGTGAGAAGGCTCCTTGAGCGAGCTGAAGCCATGTGGAGGAAAATGGAGAAAAAAAAAATCCAGCTAAAGAAGCCCATAGAAATCAGAAGCAGATTTAAGGGTGCAGTTGGCCGCTCGACTGGGAAAAATCAGTTTGGCGAACATGTGAACCGTAGTTATTTAGCGCAGTGTTGGTCACAGAGTCAGTGTGAAACCAAGCTGCTCAAGTGATTGGACAAGTCTACCATACCAGACTCTTGAGTTGTAGCTCAGTGGGAGCATGGAAAACAATATCAGACGGGGGACCGGGTGTCTGTGCGTGCATATGTGTGTGTGCGTGTGTGTGTGTGCGCGTGCATGTCTTAGCGTGGGCGTCAGTGTCTGGCCGGCCTCGCGTCTGCCTGCCATGAGCAGCACAGTGGTGGTTAGAGGCATTCTTGTCATAGCTAGCGTTTCCGTGAGCTAGCTCACCTCTCCGCATCCGGGACGGGAGGGTGACACGGCCAGACTGGCTGCAGCTTCTTGTTCAACGTAGCAATTTGGGGGAACCCCACAGAAGTTCAGCCAGAGGTACAAATATGGCCTGAACCTTTCCGCCATGACCGTCAGGATGGGAATGGGGGGGGGCGTGGAGGGAGGGAGGGTCCTGCACTGTATTTAAGGAGATCTCACCATGACCGTGAGCACCAGATACGCGCACATCGCTCGCCTTTATGAGATGCTGCTTCTCATGTCCCAAAATGTGGAGCTGTCTGTTTGATAACTGCGCACACAGGTAATGACGGATTTGTTACTTTTCATCTTAAGCTGCTATAGAACAACGTAGTTCTAACTTCTGCTCTGAGAAATAAACCACAACGAAATATCAACCTTTAAAGTAGTGAGCATGTGTTGGCTTACTAATATAAAACGTCAACAATTTCAGGCACTCCTGTATGGTAATTACAGCTTTATTACTGCTCAGACAGAAGTTAATCTTGTGTGTGTGTGTGTGTTGATGCCTACCTTGCCGTCGGACGCGGTGTTAATCCTGTAATGGTAGACTCGCCCTTCGTAGCGCAGAGAAATGGACCTCTGGCCGGGGCTGCTCTCGCTCTCCCGCACCAGAAAGCTCCCGTTGATGCCCGAGCTGAGCAGGTACTCGGCAGCGTTGCGGGACACGGGCCCATGGTACCAGCTGTGCTTCTCCAAGCTGTTGACGGGGGTGATGTAGTTGGACGGCACCCAACCCTGGCCGTTCTTGGTCTGTGCCTCGCACCACTCGCCGTTGTGGTTGTAGCCCAGCACACGTAGCTTCTCTCCTGGTCAACAGATGGGATTAGATTTGGGTTTTATTGTCGAGGAAGTTGTTGGCTCGTACTTTAACGGTTGCAACTCATTCCTTTGATCTCAGGGAAAGAATTCCCTTCGGTGGGCTTGTTGTTCTTTGCATTGAGAACCGGCCACGAATGAATGCACACAGCACTGTAGGCAAGTTCTGCATGTTTAAGGTCAGACATGCAGGAATTCACTGTATCCTTTTAATTTGACGTTGACGGGAAGAAAAGCACTTCAGTTTAGACGCTGTAGAACATTTGCTCAGATTAGTTATTAATTTATCAGGCAAATATTCACCAAAAGTCAAAAGAACCATTTTAAAGCAACGGCTCATATTAGAATGAAGTGGAACAAGCATTGTTGAATATGACATTTTTCTAGTTTATTCCGGCGCATTTGTTCTCTCCTTCCTTCCTCTCTTTGTCCGTTGCAATTCATCCGTGGTATTGTTTTATTGTCGGTTGAGAAGAAGAAAAAAGAAAACATGTGTGGGACCATCGTCAGGAAGTGAGAGTCAGACAGGGATGAAGACGGAGAGGGAAGGAGACAGGAAGTCAATAAGTGGATCCACAGAAAGATACGTAACCTTGAGACTTACTTTCATCCTTTTTTGATCTCATTTCTCTACATCTACCAAAAGTGACAGTTGTCAAAACATGTAAAACTACTACTACTACAACTACACCAGTGGCATATGTGCGAACGTCGGAATCTTATCACAAACATCCGTAAACTGACCTTTAGTAATGCTGAGTGTGTTGTCGCCACTGGCCACGAAGTCATAGAGTGCGACGAACAGGTTGGGGTCATTCTCGCTGGGTCCAGCCAACAGGTTCTCCTTGGAGTTCCAGCGGGCCGCTTCGGTCAGACCCGGACTCTCAAAGTCGGGTCTCTGGAGAGCTTCTGGAAAATAACAAAAAAAAAAAAGAAGAGCACAGTTAGCTAAAAATGTGAGGGGACAAGATACAAGTACAGTACAAGATAAGAACACATGAATATTTATAGACATTAATATATGCTCAGTGTTGAAAAGGCAAAAATAAAGTGAAATCTTCATCTGAAGACGTTTGGTGCGTTTGGTATGCAGAAACACCGTGAGGGGGTTTTACCGGTCACATGATCAAATAGTCACGTGACCGACTGTTCACGCCGTCTTTAACTTTTCTTTCCTTGGACTTAACGGGGCTGCGTTCAAAGGCTCATAGCTCTGTTAAATCACACACATCTTGAATTATAGCAATTTTGGAGCAGAAAAGCCAAAATGTGGAAAACGGAGAGAAAGAAACCTGGAGAGAATGGAAGAAATTGGGTTTATGAGGGAGAGGGAAAATAGAAGAGCGATGTGAGAAGAGATTTTTACAACCGCTGTTGGGCTAAACGTGAGCTTTATTGTGTGGCTTTTCTCAGCTGTTGTCACACATGTTTTGGAGGCATCTTGGATTTCCTCCCCCCAGCTCACAACACCCACATCCTTCCAACAGAGACAACGGGTTACAGCTCCACACGGTTTTCACCTTCCAGGGAGAATTTGCGGAAGACACGAGAAGGAGGACCGCATAAAAGAAATAGCCATAGCACATCGCACACGTCATGAGGAAAACTAAACCAAACTAACCAAAGCCGTAAAAAGTGATGAAATTCATTGAAACAGAACTTTAGTTTCCAATTCGCCAAAATCACAGTATGACCGGAAAATCTGATCCGACCGATTATGTCACAGACGCGTCAATTTTAGGGCTGTTTTTCCTGAAAATGGAATAGTTTTTCATCATATGTTGGCAAGCACTGGAGAAAACCTGAGTACCACAGTTGCTAAATGTATCATATTATGACTTGCACTCTACTTTTATAGCATAAGCGGATGTTAGTTGAGAAAACAAAAAAAGGCAAAAAATAAAATAAAAAAATGTTTCGGGGAAGTTTGATCCCGATATGTGCTGCATCTTCTGCTCTTGATGCTTGTGGGTGATTCATTTCACGCCGTGCACTTTATGGTACCCAAGACCTGTCGAGTCCACGATACAGAAAACAACACACGCTTTTACTACCATGATCTACACGTTGTTCAAAGTGAACGTTGAAAGTCTCCAAATAACACCAGTCAAACTCGACCGAGGAGCGACCCATTTGAAAGAAACTAAATTTGCCACAAGAGATCTGATTGCACTGCACAGAATTATTAAATAAAATGGAAACTCCAACTCATTGAGAATTGCTTCACTGTTATCTCGGTCGAGCCAAGTCTGAAAAACAAAAATCACAAAAACAGATTGTGATGAAACGATTTGAAATCCATTTCCTGCCAAATACCTGACGCTTAATAAAGATAAAGTCAGTGTGTGAAAACTTTTGCCAATTGTTTGCGACAGACGGAATTGATATTGAATTATGAGAGTGATTTTAGTACACGGAGTCCAGAAGATGAGTGTGTTGATGCGATCCGTTCCAACCCTGCTGAAGGAGCAAGAAGCAAATGTGAAAACAATTTGCAACATGGAAGACTAACTAGTATTAACTGTAATGAAGCAATCAGAACAGCAGTGTCCCAAAACCCAGACACCACATTGCTTACAACTTCCAGGTAGCTGTGTGTTTGGAGGTTAAATAAAAAGCTTCAACACCGCTGATCTGCAAAGTTCGACCCGCCAGCCTGAGCACAATTTGGCCAATCAAAGCCAAATTAGATGCCAGTTTTACGCCACAGAACTGCCAGTTTGTGTGTGAGAAGCCGCAAATTTGATTTATTCCGGATCAAACCGCCAAGCTGAGACTCCCATATTGAGGAGAGTTCTGATGCTGTTGCATTTGGAGCCCAAATCACGGGTATTTCCCTAAGTGGGCACAGATACACGTAAAAAGACTGTAGATTAAATAGTTGCTAAAAGCAACAGGCTCTTATGGACAACAATGACTTTTCTCCTGCATAATGTGCCACTTATCATAAAATAGTGCATTGACGGCTGTGAATCGAGTCATGAAATGTTCATCATTCCAGTAACGAAAATCTGATTTCTTTATGTGGAATTGAGCCGATGATTTCCATTTCAGTTCATCCCTTAGTTACACAAACAAGCGGGCAGGTTCCCAAACAATATTGTAGACAAAATAGTACCAACAGAACTATTTGAGTGAAAAACCCAGATGCAAGTTTAAACTGAGGTCAGAGATCCTGCAAGATAGAAAGGGGGGGGGGGGGGAAGGAGCTCCGCCATGGAAGATGCCGACCCGCGAGCCAAAAGGACATACCATATGTCCAGGATTTGGCCGGGTCATAAAGTGTGTGGGCAGCGGATTTGAGCAGGCCATGCCACACGTGTTCACTTTACAGGCCACAAATACCACAGCTCTTTGTGAGAGGGCCACAGCACCCCCGACACACGGGCCGCGACAACACAAGCTCCAGAGAGAAAAAACAAGACGTCTGAAGGGGGAAACAACAAAGATGAAGAACTGAGTTCTTTTTCTATGGATCCAGAGGTAAAAAGAAAAAACATGTCTGGTTCCACTTGGTCCCGTCAACCAATACAGTCTTGCTAGTTATGATAAGTCATTTTTAATGAGCTCATTAATACTACCAGGTGGTATCGGTTTTGGTCCTATACAAGATGTCATACAATATTCATATTGCATTTCTCTGCTGTTACACTAATAAACTAATGATAATAATCAAAGGGCTCAGGGAATAATGAAGCCGATCAGCTCAGAATGTTTCATTTTGGGTGGAATATGTTGTTAGCGTGACATTGGCTGTGCCTCGTACCATATGGTCTGGAAATGAGACTCCTCATCACTGTCATCCACTTCAGTGGGGAGCGTACCAGGACTGTTAACACTATTAAATCATCGGGTTGCACAATATTTGGCCCGCATGAGACTTGGCAGAGTCATCCACTGCCAATCAATTATTATGTTGATCGTGTACGGACTCAACGTGCGCTGGATTTCTTTTAAATTGCCTTGTGCAAGCTTCATACATCACAGGCAAATCAATTACCCACTTTAACCGTGACCAGTAGCGTGTAATTAGAAGTGATTGAAGAGAGGTAATCGCCAGTCTGCGGACTACAAAGACTGGGTGAACTACATGGATCCACGTGATCCGAAGCTCTCCGCACAGGCGCGACAAGCAACCGAACTGAAAAGGAGCGGAGCCGGAGATCCGAGCCCCTCTGCTCATAAACAAGAGTTAAGTGGGACACGAGCAGGAGTCGGGTTTCCTCGTATTCTCTTCTCAAGCCGCTTTTTCCACTTCTTTCCCTCTTCAGCTCGCCAGTGTGTCTGGCTTCCCTCACCCTCCCCTGTGCTCACTTCTCTCTGCTGCTGCCCCCCCCCACTCACTCCACTCTTGTGTTTCCACACAACTCTGTTACTTCGTCTTTTTTATCGTCTCCACTGTGTCTGACGCCCCTTTGCTTTGTTCTTTTGTTTTTTGACATCTATTACATTTTGTTTACGATGCTCTAAAGTAAAACCTTAAAAAAAAAAATCACAGCCCGAGCTTAAAGACGGAACAGCCGTCACAAAGTATTCTTACCTTCCAAGTAACAGCTGGAGGAGGACGAGAGGCCTTTCTTAGATTTACACCCCACCAATTTCAGGCAAATCTCCAACATTTTCATTTGCTTTCTGTCCCGTCCCGCTTGAAAATGTGGTTGCTTGGTTCAAATCAGACGTGCCTCGAGTGTTTCCCCTCTACATGTGTCCAACGGGAGAACGGTTCAAACACAAGACAAAAGTGGACAAAAGGAGGAACGGCACGAAGCCAAAATAGGGTTGGAACTGAACTGGTTCTGTTCCCCTCAGTCCTTTCAGCTGCTGTAAATCCACTTCTCCTTTTTCGAAACAGAAAAAAAAAAGTCCGCCGCCTCGCGAAGACTTTCAACTCTCTCTTCCGAGCGTCTCCATGTTTTTTGGTATTTTCTTTGCTGCTCCCCCCCTCCCACCCACCCCACTCCTTTCTCTCTCGGGTTTCGAGCTGGCTCCACTTCTGCGAGGCAACAGCAGCAACCCACGAAAAAAAAGCTCCCCGGGGGTCCGCTCCAGAGGCCCGTTTAGAGCCGCGGATGGGTCAGTCGAGTGGGCAGCAGGGCGGTCTGAACGGGGGCCATTCCTCGCTCCGGTCCTGTGTGAGTGCGAGTGTGGATGTGAGGCGCAGGGACTACTCGTGCTGCAGCTGCCAACAAAGGGCCTCTTTCAGGCTCAGCCTGCTGCACTCAATGACATCAGCTGAGCCCTCCCACCTTCAGCGGCAAACACACAATGAGAGGGGAGAGAGCGCTTCCACGCACACGCACGCACAGCGCACGCACACGGCAAGGAGAGCGCAAAACACCAGCAAAGGTTCCCGCCCACCGACGGGAGACGAAAAGCTGCATGGAAGAGCAAAACTTTGAGGGAAGTTTGGATATTAAACGTCTCTTCCTTCCTTCTGCTGGGAGTCACGGGACGATTACAAGAACTCCTCCTCCCGCATTTGAACCCCCACCTCCCCCCCTCTCACTGTCTTTCTGCTGCTCTCTTTCTTTCTTTCTTTTTCACCCCCCCCCCCCACCCTCTCTCCTTTCTGAAATGTTTACAGGTTGAGGAATCATTTCAAGAAAAGGGGGCAGTGAAGACAAAGCTAAAGCTCTCAGAGGGGAGAGAAGTGCGACCTTCAGGCCTCTTTAGCGCGGCTCATTTCTAAATGGGAACAGAGTTAGCAACATAGCTGAAGTCATCACATTGAGAACATTTATCTTCTGGTCTTTGGGGAGATATGTCTGACCATGTGACTGGTTTCCCCATATCTGGATGGAATCGTTGGCAAAAGCGAAGCGGTCTTGCAACACAACTTTCAGAAAACAACGTCCCATTTCTGCATTTCTGCCTAAAAAAGGTTGAAAAGACATTCTTAGCAAATATCA